AACCAAAGGTGATTTGATTGACGGATGGCTAAAATCGGTTCACAATATATAAACGATTTGAGAATTTCATTATCACATGATTCGTCCACAGCTTGATCTGACACGAGAAATTTAAGCAATGCATATTTACAAATAAAGTTTATTCGGTAAATGATATGATACAAGTATCTAAATAAGTAGATCACATTTAAGTATCAAATATGAGTCCAACAAATTACTTTGTAAATCAAATTATAAGTGAGATTTAATTTCCCGTGCATTGTTCTAATAAAAATGCGTTCAATAGCCACCTTAAAAGTGCTCTTGCCACTCAAAGTCAACTTTCACTTTGAGTGGAATCCACCGATGGCAAATTGCTGCCAGTCCCTCGGGGTCCACTCATGCCCGTGTTTAGCGGAAAACGTATGCATCCACTCGCTCATGACTTGACTTTAAGATGGCATTTTTCGAGAAAATATTAATATAAAATCGATATATGCAAGTGAATATTATCATAAACTTTAAATGTGTGGTATTATAAAAAAATTTACATCATCAATGACTATGATTATGTTGACGTAAATAGACTAAGTCTATATTTTTCTTTTGTCCTATTTAGCGAAATTAAATTGACGATGTTATCACATTCACTTGTAAAAAGAAAATTGACAATTTCCCAAGCGAAAAAACAGCTATTTTAATTTCTAATATTGCTGGAAAGAGTGGGAAATTCTTCAAATAATAATAAAAAAAACTTGGTACCTTTAGGTCCAGTTGCCGGAGCAGGGGCAGAAGGTAGCTGGACCGGTGGTGGCGTCCCCACGGTCGCCACAGTCACTAACGCGGCGGCGTTGTAAAAGGGGTACACCTCAAACCTCACGTTGCAGCTTGGGCTCAACACCCTTCCTCCTGGCGTATCTTGATGGAGACGTGCGATCGCCGACCGGATGCATGCGCCACAGTCCGATGCCATCAAGTCGGGCGTGCACTCTGCAAGCGTGTAAAGCCGTCGCGAGCTCGCAAGCTCTGCCTCTGCAGCGGCCACTTTCTTCCCCGATCTGATGCTCGGGGCCGTACGCACTACGTAGTCCAACGTCTGCCCCAGGAGTTGCACAAACCGAGATCGGTCGTCTGTGATGTTCAAGCCGTTCATCTTTATCGACACAGGGACTTGTTGCATAACCGAGTAAATGGGCTGATTCGAGTACCTCAGCATGCATGTATCATACCAGATGATGGAGGTTTTTTCTCCGGGGCATTGCCGTATGATATCTTTGGCCGCGGTGGCTATGCAGTCGCTGCAAGTCACAGCGTCGATGTCTCCGCGGCAGAGGAAGATCCCGTGGGCCTGGTCTGGTGGGTCTTGGCCAGCGGTGGCATTGGTGAACCTGCCACTGCTACTGATGTTGTCGCCGGCGGAATCGGCGGCAGAGGAAAGTGACGAGAGGAGATTGTTGAGGTTTTTCTGGTAGGTGGAATTAGGAAGGAAGGGTTTGGTGTCGGGGCAATAGTTGCCGATTGGATCAGGTGCCGCTTCACTGACGTGAGAGATGCTGATGAGCAAATTGATGGAGTAGAGAAGACGGAGGGAGATGGTGAAGGAAGAGGTCATGGTGAAGGAAGAGCTCCTCTTCTGATGGATACATCGAAGGAAGAGATTTTCTTATAGTCTCTCTTTTTAGTCAATATAAGCTTGTATAAAAGTCCACTTTTGGTCCTTAAATTAGCATTTTTCTTTCAATCGTGTCCATGAACTTTTGAATTGTCTAATCAAATTCTTGATCTTACATTATTTTTCTATTCAAACCCCTCCCCTAAGTACCGATCCTCCAGGTCAACGGAGTCAACCTGGACAATCTTCTTGGCCGTATTTCTCCCCCGAATATGACGGGTGCTTTTCATACGTAAGTTGGTCTCAACTAGTCACGAGCTGGTACAGTTGATATCACACGGGAACCACTACAAAAAAACAAGGATTTTGCGACGAAAATTTGTGACGAAAAATTTTTTGTCGGAAATTACCAACGACTTTTGCGACGAAAACTAAATTCATTGGAAATTTCCGACGAAAAATCGTTCGTGGAAAAATATTTGCCTATAGACTATTTTCGTGGAAAATTTCGTCGGAAATTTCGTTGGAAATTTCCCACAATTTTTCTCACGAATTTCAAATTTTCGGCGATGACGGACTAATTTGAAATTCGTGGGAAATTTCCCACGAATTTTCCCACGAAATTGATTTTCGAAATTTTGAAATTCGCAATGGCAAGCTAATTTGAAATTCGTGGGAAATTTCGTTGGAAATTTCGTGGGAAATTTCGTTGGAAATTTCGTGGGAAATTTCCCACGAATTTTCCCACAAAATTGATTTTCGGCAATGGCAAGCTAATTTGAAATTGGTGGGAAAATTCGTTGGAAATTTCCCACGAATTTCAAATTCGTGGCAAAATATTTGCTTATAGACTATTTTCGTGGGAAATTTCGTTGGAAATTTCGTGGGACATTTCCCACGAATTTTCCAACGAATTTCAAATTTTCGGCAACGGCGGACTAATTTGAAATTCGTGGAAAATTTCCAACGAATTTAAAATTCGTTGGAAATTTCCCACGAATTTCAATTTCGTGGGAAATTTCCCACAAATTTCAATTTCGTGGGAAATTTGCCATGAAAAAAATTATTCGCGGCAAATTTGCCATGAAAAAATTATTCCGTTCATTATTCGTGGCAAATTTTTCCGTCCATTACTCGTGGCAAATTTGCGACGAAAAAATTATTCGCGGCAAATTTGCCACGAATTTTGCAACGAATTTCAAAAAAAAGGCATTTTTTGTAATATGTTCGAAATTCGTTGCAAAATTCGTGGCAAATTTGCCACAAAAAATCAAATTAAGCAGGGGATGCCGGAAACTTGATTTTCGTGGCAAAATTCATGGCAAATTTGCCACGAATTTTGCAACGACTTTCAAAAAAACGCATTTATTCTACTATAAAATCAAACATAGTAGAATAATTGCCTTTTTTTGAAATTTGTGGCAAAATTCGTGGCAAATTTGCCATGAATTTTGCCACAAAAATAGAACATATTAGAATAAATGCCGCGAGACTTGATTTTCGTGGCAAAATGCGTGGCAAATTTGCCACGAAAATAGTACTAGAATAAATACCGTTTTTTGAAATTCATGGCAAATTTACCACAAATTTTAAAAAAAGGCCGGCAAACAATTACCAATTTAAAAATAAAAAAAGTTTGCGACGAATTTTTTTTTGTGTGGCTAATTTGTTACGAAAAATTATTGGTGGCTAATTTGCGAAGGATTTAGCCACGAATTCGATATTACCAATTTAAAAAATAAAAAATTTTGTGACGAATTATTTTTCGTGGTAATTAGCGACGGATTTATCGATGAATTTGACATTACCAATTTAAAAAATTTGTGACGAAAAAACTCCGTGGCTAATTAGCGACAGATTTAGCGACAAATTTGATATTAACAATTTAGAAAATAAAAAAAATTTGCTACGAATTATTTGCCGTGGCTAATTAGCGATGGATTTAGCGACGAATTTGACATTAAAATTTTAGAAAATAAAAAAATTTTGCGATCAATTATTTTCCGTGGTTAATTAGCAACGAACAAAAAAGTTCATTGCAAAATTACATATTAATTATAAGATTCCAGAAGCTGAAATAACAAAAGATAATACTTCTTATAAAACTTCATTCCTTTTATACGACTTATACAACCTTTTAAAATTATCACTTTAGGGACTTATAGGGACTCCTTTTATAGGACTTATACAACCTTTTAAAATTACTAATGATGGTATCGAGACCAAATTTTTAAAAAAGGAAAATAATTTTTAATATTATAAGCAAACCACAAACCAAGAACTTAAGTACACTTCAGGAACAATCCATTTCTGAAATAAATTGTATTATCCAAAATAAGAAAACCACCTTCAATATTTAAAAGAAGACCTTGAACATAAAAGAATTGAGCAAAATTTTTCTGATTCTACTATTGAGAAAATAATTGCTAATCTTGAAATTTGCATAAAAAGTTCTATATGTTCGACACTTCCTAATGCTTTTTGGTCTAAAAAATATCATATAGTTGATTTACCTTATGAATCTTAATTTTTTGAAAAAGAAATCTCGACCAAGGCAATACCTTCCTAAATGAATCAGGAAGTCATGATTTTTTGTCAAAATGAAATCCAAAAACTTCTTGATAAAAATCTCATTAGAAAGGGCCAATCACCTTGGAGTTGCTCTGTTTTCTATGTAAACAAAAATACTAAATTAGAAAGAGGAGTTTCAATATCGGTAATCAACTATAAATCTTTAAATACAGCTCTGAAATGGATAAGATATCCAATTCCTAATAAAAAAGACTTATTGAATAGATTACACAATTCAAAATTATTTTATAAATTTGATATGAAATCAGGATTTTGGCAAATACAAATCAATGAAAAGGACAGATATAAAACTGCCTTCACTGTTTCACTACAAAAAAATAAGTATTTCGCCACGAAAATTAGCGACGAAAAAATATTTGTCGCTAATTTGCGACGGAATTTGCCACTAAAAAAAATTCGTGGCTAATCGTGGCTAATTTGTGACGAAAAATTATTCGTGGTTAATTTGCAACGGATTTAGCCACGAATTCGACATTACCAATTTAAAAAATAAAAAAATTTTGCGACGAATTTTTTTCCGTGGCTAATTTGCGGCGAATTTAGCCACGAAAAAAATCCGTGGCCGGAGACGGATTTAGCCATGAACTCGACATTATCAATGTAAAAAAATGAAAAAAATTTTGCGACGAATTATTTTTCGTGGCTAATTTGCGACGGAATTAGCCACGAAAAATAATTCGTCGCAAATTTTTTTCATTTTTTTAAATTTGTGAGGTCAAATTCGTCACCAAATTCGTGGCTAATTAGCTACGAATTTTTTTTCGTCGCTAATTAGCCACAAAAGATAATGTTCGTCGCTGATTTTGCTTCCCGCCCTCTCTCAAATCTGCCCGCTCTCACCCTAATTTTTTTTCTCTGTCTCTCTCTCTCTGCTATTCCTCAGATCCCCCCTCCGCCAAACACCTCTCGTCGCTCCCCCCTCCCCTCCGCCAGCCATGATGGCCACCCTCACCGCCATCGCCGTCGCCTCCTCCTCCGTCGCCATACGCCCGTTCTGCGCCCACCAGCCCTCCCTCGGCCCAGATCTGGGCGAGGTCGAGCGGTCTCGCCCATGGCCGCCGCTCGACCTCGCCCATGGCTGCTCGACCTCGCCGTCGCCCAGATCTGGGCGACGGCGAGGGCGAGCGGTGGCCATGGGCGAGGCCGGGATCCGGTGCTTCGTTGCCGAGGGCCGCCGGCGGGGGACTGGTTGATTGCGTTGTGGTCGGGGGCGCGATCGGCGGGCTCTGCATCGCCGCGCGGAGCCCGTTCTTCGGGACCGCGTTCGCGGAGAGCGAGAGCGGGGCGAGGTTCGAATCGGCGTGAGTTCTTTCTTGGGTGTTCTTCCTTCTTCTTTTTTTCTGGGGAAAAGGAAGAAAATGGAGAGGAGCACGCCGGTGAGGAAGCCTCACACTTCGACTTCAGATCTGCTCACGTGGTCGGAGACTCCGCCTCCCCACGATTCGGTCGCGCCCAGTTCGATCGCGCCCGGTTCGGCTTCCTCTCGCTCCAATGCTCGCTCTCACCAGGTGCGTCGTTCGCTATCACCTTCTGCCTTTTTTTTTATCTTCTTGGGCTTTCCTTTTTTAACGGGTTGTTCTGGGGGGATGATGCTGTTAGCCTTCGGATGGGATCAGCAAGGTGGTGTTTGGAGGTCCAAGTGACTGCAGAGAAATCTGAGAATTTGAACAAAAGGTTAGATCTGCTCTTCTTGGTTTTTTTCCCCTCTCCCTGTTTGTTGATGACGTTTTGTGTTTTTTCCCCTTAAATGCAATGTTTCATTTGGCGGAATGGGTTGCCACCGTTTTACCTAGTTGTCCGCATTCTCTCCATGTTCTCCAATGCTTTGGATTTTCTTTCTTTAGAAATTATGGTTGGATTGTGTAATATAGGTTCAATGTGGATGTGTAGTGATCGATTTGCGGGGAATGAGGGCAGAAACTTTGAATCCAACATGATAATCTTTACCACCTTCATTTAAATTACAAAAGAAGGGAAATTTTTTTGGGGGTGGCTGTTGATGGAGTAATCTTGGTCAATTGGGTGGATCTTAGAACTTCAGATGCCTTGGTAGGTCAAGCTTGCTCACCTTCATTTTGTGACGTTGCTGCTGGTTTCATATGTTTTCTAATGGATGTGAAAGTTGACTTATATTCAAATGTTAGAACATTGGTCCTTGAACGTTTTTAAAAAATCCTCTTACTTATTTTTTTATAGTTAGTTTCACGTCCATGCATAAATGCTTTTTTTAATATTTTGGACAAATTCGATATCTTTATTTATGTATCTATATTTCATCAGGTGTCGATAAAGGTGACTGTTCCTCATGTCTTGCCAAGTACCAAAGCTGCCAACGTTTTATGGTTGTCCCGCGTCCTTTTAATGTTTTAAATGTATTACATGATGTTCATTAGTGCTTAGCTACCTCTATGTACTATGAGATTGAATATCGAATACCATCATGTGAGACTTTGCAACTTATACATTGTAGAAATTAATATTGTTGCTAATTAGATTTAAAATCGAAATTGTCCCTAAACAAAATTCGTCGCAAACTTAGCGATGAATTTTGTCACGAATAGATTTCGTCGTAATTTAGCGACCCCACGAATAGATTTTGTCGCAATTGAAATTTTTGGTCGGAAAAATTAGCGATTTTCCACGATTTTTGTAACGAATAATTAGCGACAAATTTTGCAACGAAATTTCCCACGAATTTGTTTTCGTCGCAATTTACCAACGAAAATTGAAATTTTTTTGCGGCAAAATTCGTGATTTCCCACGATATTTGCAACGAATATTTTGCGCCAAATTTTCCAACGAATTTTGCAACTAATTTAGTCACGAATTTTGCAACGAATAATTAGCAACGAATTAATTTTCATTGCAAATTACCAACGAAAATTCAAATTTTCGTCGCAAAATTTTGCGAAAAAATACCGGGTTTTTCAAATTCGTAGGAAAATTCGTGGGAAATTTCTCACGAATTTTCCAACGAAATTCAAATTTTCGGCTTTTTTTACTATTCGTTGGAAAATTCGTGGGAATTTATATACGATTTTTCCAATGAATTTACCCACGAGTTTAATTTTCGTCGGAAATTACCAACGAAAATTGTAATTTTTTGTCAGAAAAATTCACGATTTTCCCACGAATTTTGTTTTCGTCGGAAATTACCAACGAAAATTGTAATTTTGGTTGGAAAAATTCGCGATTTCCAAAGATTTTTGCAACGAATAATTTATATACGATTTTTCCAACGAATTTACCCATGAGTTTAGTTTTCGTCGGAAATTACCAACGAAAATTGTATTTTTTTGTTGGAAAAATTCGTGATTTTCCCACGAATTTTGTCTTCGTCGAAAATTACCAACAAAAATTGCAATTTTTTGTCGGAAAAATTCGCGGATTTCCCACGATTTTTGCAACGAATAACTACCAACGAATTGTTAGCGCGAATTTTGCCACGAAATTTTGCAACGAAATTTGCCACGAATAAATTTTCGTCGCAAATTACCAACGAAAATTCAAATTTCTTTTTCGTCACTAATTTCGTTGGAAATTTTTGTTCGTCGCTAATTTCGTTGGAAATTACCAACGAATTTTGCCACGACGTTTCCAACGAAGAATTAGCAACGAATTTTCCAACAAATTTTTTGCGTCGGAATTTACCAACGAAAAATTAAATTTTTTTTTTCGGAAAAATTTCCAACACCGCATTACCGACGAATTTTTTTTCGTCGGAAATTCGTTTTACCACGAATAATTAGCAACGAATTTTGCCACGATTTTTGCAACGAATAATTACCAATGAATTTTCCAACGATATTCCAACGAACTTTCCAACGAATTTTCCAACTAATTTTGCCACGAATTTTGCCACGAATTTTCCAACGAATTTTCCATCGAATTTTCCAACGAATTTTCCAACGAATTTTTACAACGAATTTTCCGTCGAAAAAATTTCGTTGCTAATTACCAACGAAAATTTAAATTTTTCGTTGAAAAAATTTGCGACGACGAATTTCCAACGAATTTTTTTTCATCGGAAATTTCGTTGGAAATTTGTTTTCCAACGAATTTTGCCAAATTTTTCGTTGGAAAATTCGTTGGAAAACTCTTGTTTTTTTGTAGTGAACTTTTATGGGACCATCGCAAAATAAACATTTGGTCAAGTGAGTACAAGGATTGGTATACTGGAGCACTGATGGATCTACCAAGAAAATGTTGCGAAAAATAAGCAATCGAAAAAAAAATAAGAAAACTAAATCACATAATAAATTTACATGATTCGATTGGTGTGATTTACATCCACGGGTAAAACAGCATAGGAATTTCACTATAAATTAAATGATACAATGGAGATTACAACTATACTCGAGTCACTCAAGCATTTTCAGTGTTTCCTAGGGTCCAATTAAATCCAATAACTCATATAGTATTTAACTCTCACAGTTCCTCGAAAATAATCTCTCAATCTTGTATAAATGAATATACAAATCTTACTCAGAAAATTTAATTAGCTTCAAACACATAAATTGATGTAATTTCACGAAGAAAATGTTCACTACATGAATGGCGCAAATACCCACTCTACCCTCGTATCAACCCGGGCACACGAAGCTCCCACAAACAGAAAACATATAGCCAAGCAAAGTGGAGTAGCGGACTTCAACATGAAAACGTATATTCCATGTAATCCTAATTGAATTCGGTTGATTCAAGTTAACCAAGTCCAAATTTCCTTTTTCTATACTTGGCTGACTTCAACGTGAAAAATTAATTTGTGTGACCTTCTCTTATCTTTTTCTTTTTAATTTCCACAACCAAAAAGTCCATGTACTTCACTATATCCGGACCAAGTATTATTGATTGGGCTCAAACTCTAGACGTACTTTCAACTATCTCCACCTTAGCTCCATACCGAAGCCAAGTCATAATCGCTTTGCTGAAATCTGAACTTCTCTATTACTCTCCTACAACCCCTTATGGGCTCAATCGTCATAGACATTTCTCAAGTCCGAGCCATGCTTGAATTCTCGCTGAAAATTCTAACTTTGCTCCTACTCTCCCATAGCCTTCATGGGCTCAACCACCATAGACATCTCTAATGTCCAAGCTACGCTTGAACTTCATCATAACCGGAAACCTCATAAGAACACCAACTCCACCTGCACCTTTAAGGCTCCACGAGAATTCGCAAACACAACATCCCTTATCATAAATAAAGCAAATCACTATTGCATCCATATATGTTAGGAGATCGAATACACAAAACTCAGCAGTTACAACAATCGTTGGGTTCACTTGCTCTGCCTTGCTACAAGCACCACCTCTGTCGATCATCATGTTAGCACCTGCTACCTCAGGATTTTCTAGTTGCAACTCCACTTTGAGTTGAGTAGCATCTAGATCTATATAAACATTGCTACTATCAATCCTAGTCAGAATTATTGGAGATTCGTCAAAGTTTATCTAGTAAATGATTTGATACGAGTATCTAAATAAGTAGATCACATCTAATTATCAATTTATTAGTGAGTTCTATTTTCCCGTGCATTGTTCTATTTAAAATGAGTTCAAAAGCCACATTAAAAGGGGCTCTTGCACAGTCAAAGTTTGAGTGTAATCCACCAATGGCAAATTGCTGCCGGTCCATCGTGGTTTACTCATGGCCGTGTTTACCGGGGAATGTATGCATCCACTTGATCATGAGTTGACTTTAAGATAACATGATAATGAATGTTATCATTGAAACTCTGCTGTGGTTCACATTTCAATTATCAAACACCGCTTGTATAAGATAATTGACTAATTCCCAAGTAAAAAACAGCTATTTAATTTCTAATATTGCTGGAAAGGGTGGGAAATAAAAAAATATTTAAAAAAAAACAATATTAGGTACCTTTAGGTCCGGTCACCGGAGCAAGAGCAGAAGGAAGCTGGACCGGTGGTAACGTCGACATGGTCGCCACAATCACCATCGCGGCAACGTTATAAAAGGAGTACTCCTCAAACCTTACGTTGCAGCTCGGAGTCAACACCCTTCCTCCTGGTGTCCCCTAAGGGAGACCTGCGATCGCCGACTGGAGGCATGTGATGCAGTCTGATGCTGTCAAGTCGGGCGTGCACTCCGCGAGCTTGTAAAGCTGTTGCGAGCCCGAAAACTCTGCCTCCGCGGCAGCCACTTTCTTCCCCGCTCCACTGCTCGGGGCACTACATCGTCCATGGTCTCTCCCAGGAGTTGAATGAACCGAGAATGGTCATCTGTAACGTTCCAACCATTTGCCTGCATCGACACGGGGACTTTTTGCATGACCGAGTAAATGGGCTGATTCGAGTACCTTAGCATGCATATGTCGTACCAGATGATGGAGGTTCTTTTGCCGGGGCACTGCTGGCCAATATCTTGGGCCGCGGTGGCTACGCAATTGCTACAAGTTGCAGCATCGATGTCGCCACAGCAGAGGAAGATCCTGTAGGCTTCGTCTGGTGGGACTTTGCCAGTGGTGGCGTTGGTGAACCCGCCACTGCTGCTGATGTTGTTGCCAGCGGAATCGGCGGTGGAGGAAAGTGATGAGAGGAGATTATTGAGGTTTTCTTGGTAGGTGGAATTAGGAAGGAAGGGTTTGGTGTTGGGGCAATAGTTGCCGGTTAAAATAGGTGCCGCTTCACTGATGTGAGAGATGCTGATGAGCAAATTGATGGAGAAGAGAAGACGGAGGGAGATGGTGAAGGAAGAGCTCATGTTCTGAAGAATACATTGCATATGGCTTTAGTTGGTTCTTGAGGTTTTCTTGGAGTCTATCCTTTTAGTTCTTATAAACTTGAATAAAAGTCCACTTTTGGTCCTTAAATTTGTATTTTTCTTTCAATCGTGGCCATGAACTTTTGAATTGGCTAATCAAATTTCTCGATCTTAAATTATTTTTCTATTCAAGCCCCTCCTCCCCTAAGTACCAATTCTCAAGGTCAATGGAATCAACTTGGACAATCTCCTTGGTCGTATTTCTCCGAAAGTTCTTGCGGCCTAATATGACGGGTACTTTTCACACGTAAGTTCGTCTCAACTAGTTACGAGCTGGTACAGTTGATATCACACAAGTGGACTTTTACGGGACCATTGCAAAATAATCATTTGGTCAAGTGAGTACAAGGAATGGTACACTGGAGCAGTCACGGATCTACGAAGAAAGTGTTGCAAAATAAGCGATCGAAGACAAAATAAGAAAATTAAATTAGATACTAGATATACGTGATTCGATTTGTAACATCCTCAATTTCAGTCTTTGGAAAATGACTATGATTTAAGTTTGGTAGTTTTTCAATTGGAACAAAATTTTTACTCTTGTTTTGGAAAACCCAGTTTTGGATCCTTTGTACCCCTTCGTTTTGTTATTTTTATGGAGACTTTTGTGATCTGAATTTCCAAACACTTCATTCTTGAAAGTTGTTCCAAACATCATGAAGTTTTACATACTTTAATTTCAGAAATTTTGGACTTGATATGAGTGGTACGATG